TCTTTCCCAATTCTGTCAGTACTCCTATTAAGTTTAATTTCTTCAAGTACAAGAAATTCTTTACTGTGCCTAATTATTCAAAAATCAAAAGACAAACACTGCTATTTTTCATGTGAAACTCCAAGATGGAGAATAATTATTATTGTGTACCGTGAAATACATTTCTACACGTGATGGCAAGCTTGCAGTTAACAGTTTACAATTTAGAAATAAAAGCATATAAAAAGAATACAGCACATTCTAAAATAACAACATTCGCCAACTGAAATACGCAGCCTTCATGCAGGTTTACCATTCATATACTGCTGATGGTCAATGAATGAAACCATTTACATTACTTTCCAAACACACACTACAGTTGTTGCTGTTTTTTATTTAAAGTAAGTGTTTCTCACTTGAGTGCCTGGCTCGAAATCAGGATGTGTGAACGGTCCAGATCGCTCGAGGAACTTCTTTACATGGTTCCAGCGACCTTCCCAGTCTCCAGAGTCCCCATACCCACCATCAACAGCCATTCTGCACAGAACACAGTAAATTCAGCTGCAAAACCATAGAGAAATAGCCACACTTATAAAACGTGCTTTCTTTTTCTCATATAGGTTAAAAGTAAATTACTGATCAGCCATGCAAAAGTATCTGCATATTTATGTTGACCATCTACACGTGTAAGTAATGTGCATGAACATCTGCAGGAGTGGGGTTCATCGGTGGACCCAGTAAGCAGTAATACAAACATGCAGAAGATAAAAACTGGCATTTCAATAAATCCCACTGATTTTGCTCTTACTAGTAAAAGTTGACCTGAAAAGAAAAAAAAGGGTCTGCTCTTTTTGCTTTTATTTCCCTCACGTTTTAAGAGAACGCGTAAAAAAGAAGCTGCCCTTTAGATTTTGAGGGTCCTATTTCCTCAACAAAGTTGAGCATTCATTTTTTTTTTTTAATAGACCTTTCAAGAAAGTTCACAAAACAGAATTATCTGTGTTAACTGCAGTTGTGCACTGTGTAACTGCAATTGTGAGGCACTGAAAGAGTGTCATTAATGTGCCCCAGCACTATCACATCTGAATCTTTATAGTAGCTTAAACAAGCATGAGAAGGTATGAATTTTGAACAATCTTCACCTGCCATTATGACACCCTCGTTTTCCAGCTGTCTCCTGAGCCTGTTAGTAATTACTAAATGACCTGAAAAATAAACTTGCAGTTCTCTTCTAAACTAGAGGCAGAATTTTATATGAAATACTCCCACTACCCTTTCTCCCCTTTTGCAGGTCACTTTTAGTAGTAGACAACTATAAAATTAAACTGGTAAGAGACTTACTGGAATAGCTCAAAATCAGCTCACTTATTTCCTAATGTAAGATCACCTACAAGGAACAAGCCTTTGCTTAACACAGCACACCTCCCTTTTTAAGTTTGAGCTCCACAAGTGAATACAAACGATTGTTTGCTCTACGTTAATACAAAACTAAGCTGGTTATAAATGAGCTTTGAAAGGCTGGATCGTCATTGATAAGAAGCATCATTTGCTTCCACCTATGAAGAAATACGAAGAGAATTTACATCAATAACTGTTGATCAATGTTTAGAATTTGTCACTCCCTTGGGTCACTTCTAGACAGCAAATCTCTCAATTTTCAGAGATTTCAGAAGATGGACAATACAGTATGATGGCTCTAACTTCTAGTCATAGTTTTGCAAAAGGTTTTCAGTAACGGGAGAAAAACTTAACTGAAAAACAATAAACATATTGGATTCTGCCTGTATTTTGATTGCTGACTCTTTCCTGGTCAACTGTTGGCTTTAGGTATGTTAACCTAGCAGTTGAATAAATTCTTTAAAAAGAATTTAAGTTCATAGAGGATCTTTTCACCTCTGACCTGCTTTTCTCAGTTTGCATCAAAGTAAGATTTTAGGAAGGCAGGAAGACAATAAAGCTCTTCCTCCCCTGAACCCTGGTCTCAGCTGCTTTAAACCAGTTTTCAGGATGTGTATGAAATAACAACTTCTGCAAACATAGTATGGATGAATATAAATCATAATAATTGCTTTTATGGATTTTATCTTGCTCTGGAAACAAGTACAGAAGTTAAGCCTGGTGACTGATTCTTTACAGGCCATAAAAACAGCCACTAAGCAGCTGTACTTCTCTGTTTAGATGTGAATTTTTCTTTTTAGTGCTCAGATGGCAAGACCTTGCCTCACTTTTGCAAATACATTATCTCAGTTTTTACAGAGTTGGACACTGTGGAGATCTGAAAAATACCAGCAACTCAACATGAGGTGTTATGTTTAGCTTCAGAGACAGGTTTATTCTTGTGTTGTCACAGCACAACCAAGCATTCAAGTCATTAGACGTGAATTTACCAAAACTGTGTGTGTCTTAGATTTTATTCAAAACATCAGAGCACCACAGTCCTTTCAGGCCCACACTTCTCCCTGCCACCTTCGCACACCCAACACTCCATGCTTGTGCAGGACGTGGCATGCACCCCCACAGCCCGCATGCCTCGGGGTTTCTGTGACCCGCACCCCAGTACGGCTATGGGAGCTTTGGGAAGAGAGCCACAAGGAGATGGAGGGGAACAGTCAAGGGACAGAAGCAGATGAGGTCAGAGACTTCTGCATGTTAGTTTTCAAGGCTGCGCAGAATTTAGAGCTTTAAGAAGCAGAAGCAGCTGCTCTGTAGACTGAAGTATTCACTCTCGGCTAGTTTTGAGTCACCCGCTCCTAGCCTAGCAGCCCTGCCAGGTCCCAGCCAGCAGCAGCTCTCCCACTCCTGCCACAAAGCTCTCAGCACACCAGCCTCCATCATGCCAAGCTTAAAGCCCGCAACCCGCCCCGCGCTGCGGGTGAGCCCCTCGGTCCTCTCCCCAGGAGATTCCTCTTCCCCAGTCCTTGCTGCTCAAGTGCCCTTCCACCTTCCCTTGCTCCTTCTCACCCCCTCAATCTTCTTGCTCCCACAGCCCCTCTCTGCGGCCTTCACAGCAGAGCCGCCCGCTGGCCCAACCTCTCTGCGGGGCTGCGGCTCCCTTCGCTGCCAGCCACCCTTCGACAAGCGCTGCCTGCCCCTGCCGCTCTCCCTGCCCCTGGCCCGGGCCGGCCCGCAGCCCCGCACTAACCCATCCGCCAGCAGCTCCTCTAGCCTCCTTCTTTTCTTCTCCCTAAAAGAGAGAGAATAAAAGAAGGGTCAGTATCGCGCTACAGAGACCGGGGAGGAAGGAGAGGGGACCCCAGGGCCCACCCGTCCCCGGGAAGCGTGGGGAAGGGGCGGCCGAGCACGCACATACAGGGCACTTACGGTTCCTCACCATCCGCCATATTTTTTCCCTCTGCTTCCCATAATACCCCGCGCGCCGCCGGGCTCCCGCCATGCGCGGCGCCATCATGGGCGGTGCGTCTCCACACTGGGCGACCATGGCCGCTGAGGCGGGTGGGGTGGGGGGGCGAGGGGTTCATGACGATCCTTGAGAGTGCGGTACAGCTTATGCTACAAGCATTGTGAGACGGAGCTCCAGCAGTCAGCTCTACCATGCCTCAAGTATTTTCTGTTGTCTGGGTGCGCGCAGAAGCACGCTGCTCACAGTCTAAGCGCAGAGCTGGGAAGCAGCCGCGCAGCTCCCGCAGATCGCGGTTATAGCCTCGGGCTCCCGAACGCACTTTGAGGAATGCAAATGCTTTGTAGATTTGAGAAGCTGCCACAAACCCCAGGCATCGCAGCCACACCCGGCGTGCCGGGACACACCCGTGCCAGGTGCGTGCGTTCAAGCCGTGCGAAACAAAGCGTAAAGACACTCAAAATGTTTTAATGGGAGCAGTTAGAATCATCGCAGCTGCTGTCCAGATTCAAGGTCCTCACCGCCAGCCCTCAGCGTGACCCCGGGCTGCAGAAACCCCACCAGCCTGCGTCCCGCCCCGCTTTCAGGGCACAGCGACCCGGCTTCTCACGCAGCAAACGAGTGACATTTGTGCAGAGCAAACAAACAGACCGTACAGCCGGCCGGTGACGAAAGCACCTCTACGCCGTGCCGGCTGCGCGGATTGCTGCGTGCCCGGCTCTTTTCCCATTTCCCCGCGGCCCGGAGCCGCCCCGGGGCGGTACCACGAAGCCCGAGGCCTGCGCGGCGGCTGGGCGGGGCAGCAGCCATGGAGGTGCAGGTGGCTCCGCTGCGCTCCTGGGAGGACTTCTTCCCCGGTTCCGATCGTTTCGCCCGGCCCGACTTCAAGGACATCTCGAAATGGAACAACCGGGTGGTCAACAACCTGCTCTACTACCAGACCAACTATCTGATGGTGGCCGCCGTCGTCGTCGCCATCGTGGGGTCAGTGAGCTGGAGGCGGTGGGGCTGCGGGGTGAGGGGCGGCGCGGCATCGATATCCCCAAACATACGGCCGCCTTTGCTATGTGTTGGGTGGGGGCTGGCTTTCTTAGGACGTGCTTTTTAATTCCTGGTTGGCAAATCTGGGAGCTGCCCTTTGTTTCCCACGGGCTGCCCGAGCTGGCCTGGCAGAAAGCAGCGGTGGGTGCAGGATGTCACTGGCTGCTCTGAGGCGATCGCTGCTTCCTGCCTCGTCTGCCTGGCTTGGCTGTCAAGCTGAGAGAAACTTCACTCTGAATTCCAACAAATAAGGAGATAAATTCTGCTCTCTGTTACAGCTTTAAGCCTATGCCAAAGGGACAGAACAAGCCTTTCTTATTCCTGACCTAGCGCAGATTGAAAGCCTTTCATATAAATTAAGCACAGTACCCATCCATTTTTGTGAAACTGAGACCTTCATGTCTCGTGTCAGCTGTAGCTTCCCTAGGGAGAATTGGGAAATAACCTAATCATTATTAGAATTAAAGCCTGTGCGACTCTTCTTTAAGTACTGCTTTGAGGTCTAGAAGCTCTTTGTCAGGAGTTGCAGTAGAAGCTGTGATGATTGAGCTTTTAAAATGGAAACTTGAAAGACGTTTCCTACGCTCCTCAGCAAACAATGTGCAAATGCTTAAATTGGAGGATTGCCTGGCCACTAGGCCAGATTGGTTTTGGCAGGATTTTATTTTATCATATATGTTGCAGCGGCTTACATTTTTCCTCCTATCCATTTTTTTTTTTTCTCGTGAAGCAATCTGTAACTTTTTAGGGCTGCTGATGCTATTGACCCAGCATCTGAGTCAGTGGAGAATCTCTGGGTTCGGGGAGTTTTATCCCGTGCTTTATGAAAGGAAAGGCTGAGAACCCTGCTTTTCTCTTCTTTTTGCTCCATTTTGGCTAAGGGTTTGGCCGTGGGAGATTTTCTGCTTAATTTTGGTGGAGATCCGTACTCTGTACTCAACTCAGTAGCAGATCATTAGACAGTAAAGAGACTTCCAGACTCTTACTCACTTTAGAGAGAATCTAATCTTCTCTCTTTATCTACCTTTATTTAGCAGAGCAATACCGTAGCCAGTTCTAAATAAGCAGGTAAATTAAAGCAACCCTGGAAGGCAGGAGTACAGCTCATTTGCCCCAAAAAGCTGGGGGGGAAAAAAGTGAATAATTTTGTTATCCTCAACTGGAAAACTGGAATGGCAGCAGCTTTTACTCCTAAATTCCTTTCCCCTTTTATTGTCTGATTTCACATCAGATCAAGGATAGTGATACATTTCCATGTATTTCCCACCATTTTGCTGAGGTGGTGGTAGGGAGCAGAGCCACACAAGACTGAGATTAATACCAGAAATGTAATTCCAGTATTTTGACATTAAACAATAACCTGCTACACTGAAAATTTACAGATGAGAAGAACCTGGAGTGAATTTGTTTTATTGCACATCTTAGAGCCTTTGATATGTGGCAGACCTGCTTCTTCCAACATTGAAGTAGAAGAATGGGAGGAAAACTGTAAAGGAAACAGGATAGCACTTCAATAAAGAAAAGCTATCCATTCATTTTTAATAAAAGATCTTTCTGTTGGCTGGATTGTAGCTTTGGGAGAAAGGCCAGGAAAGGTGTCCCAATTAAATTCACATTGATGACTAAGATGCAATCTTGCACTTCACCCTCTAGTGGGCTTGGGTGATAAGTGATGAATCATGGCTTTTTGGGAACTCCAGGACTGTGTGTAGGCCTACAGGCAGGATTACTGAAACCGTTAGAGCAGAGGTCTCTGTGATCAAAACTAAACTTTGCCCGTGACCCACTCTACCTGTTCTTAAGCCATCTTAATTATACAGACAGGCATTCAATGCAGAGAGGATATTTTGGCTACTGTAGTGGAGAGGTAGCTGTGGTAAATGCTGGCCTGAGATGGAAACTGTACTTGCGGTATCAAGACATCTCTGGGCAGCAGTGCTTATTGCCATGGCATAACGTACTGCCTCCTGGACAACACAGTTGACCTCTTCAATGTTTCACCATCTCCACATCTCTGTATGGTATGGAATACCTTACTGTGGGTGCAGCGTTCTTATAGTTGGGTCGTGGTTGGTCTCACTGATCTTTGTGATCTTTCCAACCTGAGTGATTCTATGACTGTGGGAGGCACTAAGTTTAAGAAATATCTGCACAGCACTCCCAACAGCCTGCAACTCTCTCCCAACCAATCAATCTGCCTGGTAAGCAGTCTACTTTCTCCTAGTCTGATAAGGCTCCACTGTCTTGCAGTTCTCAAACTGACTGCTTAAACTGATGCTTCTTTTAGGCTCATGGTGCCTCACATTTGCTAAAAAATAGTATGTGCAGAAGTGATACTATGAAAAAGTGTAATGGGTTTCAGGGTGCTGCATCCTCTGGCACAGTGTCTTCTCTACAGCCTGAAGTTCAATGTTGCTTTCGTTTTGCACTCTTGTCATTTAAACATCCACTGGCCATCTGTACAACCCCTGCAATGAACAAGTGTGTGGGTGTCTTTTTCTTTTGTTTTTCTTTTAATTCTTTATTTTCTTTCCTCCCCAGACCACTGCCTTAGCTGACTTGCTTGTAGTTAATTCCCTTAAGAGAACAAGAATTGCAGAGCAGCAAAATGCTCATTTGTAGTTTCTGTAATGCCTGATGAAATACTCAGAAGTGTGCAACACACTGCTCCAAAACCTACTGCTGCAATGTAATGCTACATAACTTCACGAAGTGGATAAAAACTTCATTTTAAAGACAAACATACAGAAACCTTCATAAAGGTCCAGCAATTTCTTTCTGGAGTGCAGAAAGAACTCCAGCTCCTGTTCTGAAAGCAGCCTAAGTGAGAAACAATATGTAAAAAAGTCTTGCTAAACCTGTGGCTGCTGTGGTCTGTTGCCTGGCTGTTAGTGACAAATTTTTGTTTGTTAGTGACAAATCAGAGGACAACATACCTTTCATAGGTTTACGTGCTAACTTCAGATGAGCTGAAACCAGAAGTATGGGGAGTGGAGAAGCAGAACTTACTCTCCACTGTAATGTTGTTTCAATTAAAACAGAAGAGGAAGGAAGCAGGAAACTGCTCTCGCCTGCCTGCTGCTTCCAGAGTGTGCTGACTTCTGGGCCTGTGCTGCTGGAGGTTTCTGCCTTGAGCAAAAGATGAGTCTTGCCCAGCTCTTTTTCCCTATGCTGTAGCTGTGACTTCTCCGAGTTAGTGGTTATCTCTGCTGCTAGGAGGCTGAATCCGGGAAACTAAAATAAATGAATCTGTTTTTGCTGTCAGAGGTAGCTACATAGTTACCAGTACTCCTGCCACACCAGTAAGTAGCTCCTCTGCTATCTTCTGGTACAGCTTGCAACTGATACAGTGTCCCAAAGCCTTGGTCCACACAGCACGGTGTTTGTGTCCCTGGAGCCTGCAGACAGACAGAATGTTTCTTCTATTTATTCTTTTTTTTTCCCACCCCTCTTTGTACTCTATATCACAGCAATTACAGTAGCTGAGGAGTAACTGCAGGTACTTACTGTTGCCCTGAGATACCAGTGGCATTAAATCCAGGCGGCAGTTTTCCTTGCCAGTTTGTTCCTGCTGTTTTGGAGGCTGCAGCATCCTACCAGGGCCGCATCTTGTCTGCTTGGGGGAGCAATAAAGTAGAGCATCCTGTTAGGAGGCTTTGAGCTCAAGGTTGTTTGCACACCAAATGTTGCTCAGTCCTGCCATACTGACTAGTTTCAGTGTAGTGAGAGAGAACAGTTTTCTTTCTTAGCTCCCGAAGAGTATTTCTTCCCTTTAGATATCTGAGCAGCCCAAAATCAAGTTACCACAACACTGCCATGCTAATAGCTCCATGCATTACATTTTTAAGTATTTGGGAGTCTTACAAATCCGTCCTAAAGAGAATTATTTTTAGAAAGTATCTTGTAACATGCTTAATGGCTGGCCACTTACCTTGTCTCAGCTGCTTTGAAAGACTCCCAGCCTATTTGCCTGACCATGAATGTTTTATGCTGTGTCTCGATCTGTATATAAATGTGGCCAATATCAGTGCTGATGGTTTGACTAGAAGAGGACTTCTAGAGTTGCTATACAGCTCTCATTTCCCCCCAGATATGTGTTCTAAAAAAATGTGCCTGTGTTTTGTGTTTTTTTTTCCTTTTTAGTCTTTAGCTGTTGTGCTAGTGAGAGAAGTGTGCCAGCAGATCTGAATGAAACTGCATAATGGAGATCTGACCTCCTGAAAAAATGCCACTGCTGGAGAATAGATATCTATATATAAATATTTAGGAGAATTTTAGGTAGCACTGTGAGTTTGGCTCTTTTGGTGATTCAAACAGTAGAGGGGAGCTTGGCATGTGACACCCTATCCAGTACTGTAATCAACAGTATTGAAGCCTGTGGACACATGGCTGATAATTTGAATACCAGTTTTTAGTGGCAACTGCTACCCCCATCTGTTTTTGTGTGGCTCTGAATGACTTCATTTGATACTTATGTTCACTGTTTCCTTGTAAGCGTTGGAATGCAGCCCACTTGAGAAAACATGTAATTCAATTAACTCTCCCCAAGAAAATGGGATCTTTTGAATGTATGTTTTTTTTCTTCACATCCCTGACAGCAAGTCAGTAACACAGAACCCATGTAATACCAGAAAGAGCATAGAGCAGAAGAGTCTTTGGTCTTTCCTCTATAAACACAGGGGGATTGCTTTTCACCAGCAGTTTCTGAAGCTGTAACGAGAATGAGAGGAAGGATGGGGAAGGTAAAGCTTTGAGAGCATTTACCCAACGCCTGGAGAACATAGCATGGAGCTCGGCCAGGCCCTTTGTTCCTTCCAGGATTATTTTTTCAGTAACTTTTTAGGAACAATCCAAGTAAGTTTGGCCATTTCTACTCCAGGCTAGCAGTGATGCCGAGATGATTTCTGCTTTAAGAATCCCATATGTCCAGTTGCATGTATGTAAACAGGACACTAGTGTGGTGCAGTCACGAGTCACCATCCTTTGGCTACAATGGAACACAGATGAAGCCAATTTCTTTCCAGAGAAGTACTGTTCACTTTTTCCAGCCTGGAAACTTAGGATTGACAATTCAGAGCTAAATATAATCTGGCTGGCTGCAGGGAGTGACTCAGATGCAAGAAGTGAGTCTGCCCTATCGCCGTTTCCAAATAGCCATGCTGGCTCTTCAGCATGAGTAGCAGAAGCAGGTGGGGAGCTAGTTTGGATTCTAATCTCTTTCTATCCAGTTCTCCTGTCTCCTGTTGGCACAAATGACTTACAGAGTCTAGAGCCAGGCTCTCAAATCATTCTGGGGGTTCTTTGTTCTCTAGGGAAATGCTCTCTGGCACTGCAGGTACAGTGTTGACATGCCAGTCCAGAAAGAGATTTCTTTAGCTTGTGCCGGATGTGAAGCACAGACCACAAACCATAGCATCCTCCTCAGCACTGGGGTGGAGTGGTGAGTCATTGTGCCCATGACTTCAGAACAGAAAGTCTGACTGCAAGGTCTATGGCAGAAAATCTTTACTGCTTTACAGGAATAGTGTTATGCTGCTGTCACTGTGGGAGCTGCTCGGAGCGCTCAGCTGCTGTGTAATTAGGGCTGTGGAAATACAAGCAAGGAAATCAGAATGCACAGGATATCACACAGCTTATTTCAGTAGAAGTGAAATATAGTTGAGCCTGGCTTTTGTACAAGTACAGAAACAAGCTAAACAGAGTCATCGGTGAAAACTGAGGACAAAGCAACCTCTTAAATACTTGGGAGCAGGTGATGTTCTCATCCTGGTCCCAAAAAGGGACTTGCTGTTTATAGTGTAGAGCTGATCCACTCGGTGGCTTGGTTTGCTTGGTAACTCCAATAACAATAATAGAACACAAACCTCAGCAGTCGCCCCTTTGCCAGGCCTGGCTCTTCTTCCTGCAAGACCTTTACCCCACGTGTCCAGTTCCATCTGACTCTCAGACACATTTGCTTGGGACTGGGCTTTTGTGTGTCGTGCCAATGGTGGTAAGTTCCTGCAGGTCCATAAAATAACCTTAGTCAGGTGTGAACTGTTAAAGGGGATAATTCAGAGATAAAGCACTACACAGAACAGCAAAATATAAATACATTTAAAAGAAGAAATCATGGGCTGAAAGTCTAGGCTCCTAACAGTTGTTTCAATTGGGGAAAAACCTTCCTTTCCTGTCACCTACCCACACAATATATCTTCAGTCTAAGTTAAAGTTACCTCAGAATCTAATGTTTGTTTGGCAGGGGAATTAGTGTAATAGTTTGTATCAGTATTATGCTATTTTCTAAGATCTGCTGCAGTTTTTCTATAACTGTAAGCAATTTAGGTAGCTGGGCATAATAAACATTGCCTTCTTACCATAGCAAATTGCCAGTAAGTTGCTTCCACGTGCTTGTTTTGACACAAACACTATATGCCAAAGTTGATAAGTATCGAAGGCATAAACAATAACAGTGAAGTAACTTTCTATACTCAACATTTCCCATACCTTTTGCCCTTTGTAAATCCAGACAAGACGATAAAAACTAGTTGACCTGAACATGTAGGCTGATCCTGGTTTTGGTAATGTGAAGATCAGCCTGTTGGGTAACCGATCACTGGAACTGTGAGCTGTTGGGATTGGCTGACTTGGAGCATGATGTCAAGCAAAAGCACTGATAGCCTGGGTGGGAGGCAATCTGGTGCTAAATGTGTCTATTAATGTGATGCAGAAATTCTCATTATCCTCAGCTATGTTCAAGAAGGGAACATAAAGAAGAAGATTATCTAAATATGCTAATTCATGGCTAAAGGTTGCTTGTTCAGTTGCTTTGGGGTAAAAAGCAGAAGTCAATAAAGACTTTTGCAACAGCAACTGACTTCTTAATGACTTAGATAGCTATTTACCTACCTAGCAGCAAAGATACCAGCAAGCTAGATGTTTGCTGCATGGACACAATTCACAAAAGCTCTGAAACAAACTTCCTGGTCCCTATTTTTTTTTTCTTTTTCTCTCACCTCTTTTCTCCAGATTTCTGAGTCCCCTGAATATGCTCATTGGTGGTACTGTGGTGGTCCTGGTGTTCCTGGGGTTCGTGTGGGTGTCACACAACAAGGACATACTCCGCAGGATGAAGAAGCAGTACCCAACCACGTTTGTGATAGTCATCATGCTGTCTAGCTACTTCTTGATCTCCTACTTGGGAGATGTCATGGTGTTCATGTTTGGGATCACTCTTCCTCTCCTCTGTAAGTATTTTTGCTATTCTCTGAGGGATGAACTGAGCTTTCTCAAATAAGTCTTGAGAGACTAAATCAGCTAATGGCTGTACTCTCTCTAAAGCAAAGACAAGACTGGGGGAAGAGGGCACATAAAACACCACAAGTCATCTTGAGTGTTATTATTATTAAATAGATACTTGCAGTTACTGAAGCAGTCATTCAGAGATCTTCTTCCAGCTGATGCATTCATTGGGCGTTACTGATTAATAAATGTGTTTTTGTTGTGCAGTGATGTTTATCCACGCTTCTCTGAGGCTCCGGAACATAAAGAACAAGCTGGAGAACAAAAAGGAAGAAATAGGTTTGAAGAAGACCCCAATGGGTATCATACTGGATGCTCTAGAACAGCAGGAGGAAAGTATCAACAAACTGGCTGACTACATATCTAAAGTAAAGGAGTAAGCAACTGCAATGTGGTGTTTTTAACTCTTCTGTTGCAAGAGTGTAATTGCTATTTACTATTGTTCAAGCTTGCTTTCAGTTTGTGTACAAAACAAGAAATGCACGTGTGGTACAGATTAATAATTGCAGGATACAGTATTCCAAGGAATTCAGGGCTCCTCTAAGAATATTAAAAGAGTAACTTCTTTTGTTGTATAATTAAATGTTCTGGTGTTTACACAAGTACCAACTTAAACGTATTTACTTGTCTCTTCTTCTTGGGGGGATGAAGGGAGAAGAGATGGAAACGGATGGAATGCAATCTCTTAAATATCTTGCAACAAATTTGTCTGTTAGTAAGAGTAACACTCCTTTCATCTCAGTTCTCCAAGATGGCAGTTTAGCCAATTTGTTATGTGTAGCACCTTCATGCTGGCAGTGTTCAAGGTGAGCTGGAATGTATTGAAAGTTTGTATCTCTTGCATCCTCTACACCCCTAACTCCAGTGGTCTTGTATTGAGACCACATTGCTAGCTTAACTGGCAAGTGGTAAAACTGTGCAATACCTGTAACCAATATGGGTTCTGTCCTCACCTCACATTCCTCCTTTGGTAGCTGGGGAACAGTCTAAATAGATCTAAGCATGGAGAGTATATAAGGCACAGTGCCTCTCAATATGTTCCAATTATGTTCCAATAAAACATACCTTTGTGTTCCCTGAAATCTTCGTTCTGTTGATCTCTAGAAGTTGCTTTTCTCTGCAAGAGAGGCAGAACTTCCTTGTGTAACTAAACCCAAGCATGGGAGGAAAAAAATTTTTGGATAAGCTAGATGAGTTGCGTTTCCACCCTATTGATGTTTTTAAACACTGTTACTTTAGGACTTACCTTGTTCTGCTTTATTCTGTGTCAGCTTTTTGTAGATGAAGGTGTATGTGTGTTTTCATGTGTGCTTTGTTTGGGTTTTTTTCTCAAGCAGAATGCAAACATAGAAGTAAAACTCGCACTTCACTGACTTTAGTGCTGACAGTCTTCAGAAGAATAAACTGGGTTCCAGGTTTATGAGTAAAAGCAATAAAAGTCAAGATACAGTTATTGAATACCCGTTCCAAATTCATACAGACACTTGCCTGTAACAACTCCTGACAGTGATGTGTGGGATTCTTTTATATGTATTTTAACTTAATTACCAGCTCTGATGGAATTGTCTTGCTAATAGCAGCTTCTGAAATATAATGGGGAAAAAACGTTGTCCAGGTGACACTCCATTGAAATATTCTTGCATTTCTCTTTTTCTAACAAAGTGATTCATATAACAACAAAGCAAACATCTTTACGGTTGAAGCTTTTATGTAACTTACCATGCTGTTTTCATAGTGAGCTGTGTAGAAACCTGAACACGTCATTCCATTTAAGTGTTAAAGTGATCAGTATTTATTGAAAATATTTCCAGCTGGAGAGTCAATGGCCTGTTCCTCACATGTAGCGCATGGTCTTTGTTTCTGAAAACTGTTTCCACACTTAAAAGTAGTAGCCTATGACTTCATCATTACTGTAGAATTTTAAAAGACTGCACAGTCATGAAGAAAAATAAACTCTAATGGTGACTACTGAGTGTATTTCTTTCAGGTTGGGAAATGTGACTCTAACCTCAGCTTGTGGATGTCTTCACAGCTGGTGAGCTCAGCGGGGTGGCGGTGGGACAGCTGTGGTCACCCTACCACGCCATGAGACAGTGCTTGTGATGAATTCTGGTTTTGATTGCTGTCTCTATTCATGCTGCTGAGTCGTGACAGAGCTGCTTGTGAGCTGCAGGAATGGTGCAGCCTCTCTCTTGCATCCTTGCAAAAGCCTGTCTGCAGAAGTGCAATATATAAGCATTTGTTCACGTTTTTACTGTCTCTTATATAACTGCTTAACTGTGATTTTACATTTCTTTTAATTACCTGGAGGGATTTCTGCCTGCTTCTAAGGTTACTGGGAGCCATGCCCTGGGCAGCTCTAGGATTTAGCTGCCAGAGAACCATTGCAAACAGTTGTAGGCAGCAAGGAGAGACTGACCTGCAGGAAGGCCTGCCACAAGCTGCAAAGTGGGCGTACTGAGTGAGTGGATCAGCCACAGGAAGGCAGAGGAGGTGAATGTTAGCAAAGGGGAAGGCTTGGCTGGGAGGAGAGGAGTGGATCAAAGGTGATTTTACAGGAATAAGCTTTGTAGCTTCCAGCAACTCGGGAAAAAAAAAGAAAACAAAAGAAAAAGCTGATCTCGTGGCAGCAATCCACAGGAAAGTGGCTTGTAGTTGCTGCAGAAAAGTCTTGCAGCAAAACCATCTGATGTGATTAAAAAAAGGGGAGGAGAAAAAAATGTCACAACAATATTAAAGTAAAAATAAGCTTTTCAAGTCACAGAGAGAGGGGTAAGGCTCATCCTCCAGATGCTTGAGAGCAGCATGAGGGAGGTTGGCAGCGGTGGTTTGGTGCGTCCTGAGATGGGGGTGGTGTGGAGCCCAATCCAGGGGTGAATTACATGGAATTAAGATTACAGCTCTCTAAACAGCACGGCATCATCTTTTACATGCTGATCAGGTATGAGACCAACTGGACTGTAAGGAAATACACTGGCTTGAAATATGGATGCACCAGAGTGCATTCTGTTCTGCAAGCTTCTTGCAAGCCATGGACGTGCTGCACATTTCTTATGGAGAGAGCTTTTATTTCATTCATTTCCTTAGCCTAAAAAATAAAGCTGTTTACATAGAAACCAAATGCTTTTCTTATGGACAAGAGAATAATCAAGGAGCATGTGTGTGAAAAGCAAGATAAGCTAAAGCACAGCGTGTTCCTGCAGAATTGGACAGCAGAAGGACAACATGGAAGCAAAATAGTTTACTGACAAACTAGAAAGACTTAAGGTTATTGATGTCTCTGAGGAAATCCTCCCACAACAAACTGGAGCCTTGAATCCATTTGGCAGACAGATGGCACTGGGATTTTGATACCTGATGGAAATTCTTAGTGCTGATTTTTCCCGTGCCAACCTTTTTCATCACACTGAGAGAAGTGCATATTGCAAGCTTTGTTCCCAAAGAGTCATATACACCACCTGGGTTCTGCAGAAAACTTCTGCTGAAACAACTGTAAGCAAAACTTGAACAGTCTTTGCTCCGAGTTGTTTTCTTTGGGTCTCTCACTCCAACTGCTTTGGTAACGGCACCTGGACAAGGACAAAGAAACACTGTAAGGAAAGGCAATTTCTCAAAGCAGTTTAGTTCAACATAAACATACAAACCTTCAGAAACTGTGAAAGGACCAGAAACATAATGGCAAGGAGCATCAAGGAGTTCAACCAGAAGTTTGGGTCTGTCTGCTGTTCCCCACTTGCAGTCTGTGATGCTTAATGCCCAGTAGACCACTTTGCAAGCAATGAGCC